TCTAACAACTATTCTTAAACTGCTAAATTTACCAAACAATTATTAACAACAAGCTAACTTAACCAGCCAACTAAAACAACTAACACAGTTAGCTATCACCAAACCGCTATCATAATCAGCTAACAGCTAATGACCGATTGCTAAACATTTATGTAAAACTAACTAACTAATAGCTACGGAGTAATTATTAGTCTAGTAAAGATAGCTTAATGAAGCCATGAAGCCATGAAGCCATCAAATTGCTCTAAGAACAACTATAAAGATAGCTTATTTATACTCCAAAAAAAAGATGACACCCCATCCCTGAGGGCCCCCAACATCGACCGGACGGCACGATGCGAGGATGTAAATTGGACTATAATCACAATCTGACAGATAGAGAGTGGAGCTCTGTCCCCGGTACTTGCAGAAGCCCTATGCATTTTTCAGTATAGTAACCCCTCATCGCAGTTGCCGGGATTCGAACCCGAGACCTAACCCTTGTGGCACTCCCTCGCTACCAGTTGAGCTACGCCCACGGGTAGCTTATTTATACTCCGTATCATAGTTGAAAGTTATATGCCGCTTTCCATGGTAATTTGCATTCTAACCGTATAATTCTCAACTCCATGTGAAATTGAATTGGAAGCTTATTCAACACTTTACTGAAAAATCAATTTGATTTCAGACTGAACTTGAATATAATACATCCATAGATCACCAAAGATCTCTCATGAACTCACGCGGTAGAACTTTTTTTACATTACAATAAACAACTTAAGCAATAATTAAATGTGGCTAAAAGTATTAAATGGCTTCGGCGAGGATGAAATTCTTTCAAATTGAAGTTCATTATTATTGGCTCATGAGCTTCACTTGAAGAAGGTCATGATATACTCCGTAACAGTCAATAGTGGATTGATTCAAACGATGTGATAAAAGCAGTAAAAACAGACATAACATGAAGTCTTGAATCACCTCCCTCCCACTCAACTTTGCCAAATTGATGTTGGATTAGAAATTAGAATAGTAAAAACGTGTGATTGAGGTTTGCGCAGTGGAGTGCGAATTAAAATGAACCGAACCACAAATTCATTATCTTAAAAGAAATTGACAATTTTTTTAGGACAAATAAATAAAGGAATGTTGACAAAGTCCAGTGGAACGAAGAGAGTATAATGCTAACATTGCACCGTGTACACAAGCTCGCTATGCAACACATGAAGCTCGCTAGTGATCTTAGAGTGTTCTAGACCGCGCTACATTGGATGCTAATGGGTTTCAGGTACTTAGATTTTAAGTCACCTTATTTTCTTTTTAGACATACTCCCCTCGTAACATTAAATGTTCCCATTTCAAAAGTATGTAGATAAAGAATAGTGAAAGAGGATATGAATTATTGGGGTATGATAAGAAAATAGTGGAATAGTATGATGGGGTGATGGATAAATCCCAAAAAAGTAATTATAATAGCGTATTATTTTCAAAATTATTGAAGGTATGATGAGAAAACTTAGGAATGAGCATATTTTTTTGTAGGAAAAAGCATGAACTCATGGTTCCCGTTAAGTCCCATTTCCCGGCACAGTATTCCCAGTGCACTTTTTTTGGGAAATTGGGTGACTTGCTGGATTCCATGCCCCTCGATCAAAGGGAGGAGTTCAAAAAGCTTCCATGGGGTCATTTTGCTAAACCTCCAGAATTGCAATTTTCTGGCCAGATTGTGCATTTGCTGTTGTTAAGGCTGGTTAAGCAACAACCAGAGGATGAGCTTTGGTTTTCAATAAGAGGGAAGATCTTTAAGTTCACTTTTAAAGATTTCTGTGAAATAACAAACCTGCCCGCGTACACCACCAGACCGAGATTTGTTAAAAAAAAGCAGAAAGGTAGTGTGGCTGATATATTCTATAAAGGAAAGAAGCGTGTGACTTACCAAGATCTGAAGGAAACAATGGTGGCATTGAATCCAAAGAGGAGGATTGAGCCGTTAGCATTTTTGAAGTTCGCTTCCCTTTTCGTCATTGATGGTGTGTTGCTTACTAGAGACCACAGTACAATGATCAATGCTGATCATTTTGATTGGGTTGAAGACTTTGAGAACTTCAAAAAGTATCCTTGGGCACTCGAGTCCTATAAGCTTATGGTGAGCCACATGAAGTCGTTGATGCGTGGTCAACCAGAGAAGTTTGAAGCTTCATTAGCTAAGAAGCCTGAATACAAGAATGCTAAGTTCACTGTTTGGTCCTTACCCCACGTCTTGCAGGTTCGCTTTAACTTGGTTTGTGTGTTATTAGAATTGTCTGTGTAAAAATCTGAAATTGTCTGTGGCCGTATGAGAAAATGTCTTTAACTTGCTTTAACCAAGAATTTCTTTGGTTGTTTACACAGGTGTGGGCGTATGAGAAAATCCCTGGACTTGCAGCGAAATGCGGCCAAAAAGTGAAATCTGAAAAAGCTAGCATTTTGAATTGGAAAGCTGTTGGGTTTTTCCACTATTCTTCTTTGAAGGAACTAGTATTTACTGAGGAGCCTTTAGAAGAAAGTGTAAGAAGTACTTTATAATTTTTTTTCGCATAATATGCATGAACCATTATTACACATTCAACTGTAATAATTTGAATTTTACTGCAGGATGATGACAATGATGGAGAGGAAGATGGTGAAGAAGAATCTGACGAAGAAGATGCTACCAAAGAAGATGATGGAGATGATGATGGGGCTGCTGATGTGGATGTCAAACTTTTTAAGAAATTAAAGGTCATGGAAGAACTTGCACATGTAAGGAATGACATGGACAAGCTGAGGACAAGTGTTACAGGTATCCAAGCCACACTTGATGAGGTGAAAGGCATGTTATGTAAGCTGATGGATGTGGTTGGGCATGGCAAACAGCAAGCTGCCACTGAAGAGAAGGTATGAATTAAAAAATAGACATGCATGTTACTAGTTTTGTCTGTGAAGTAAACGTATATGTGCATCAATTTTATTGTCGGTGTAGTTACATGTAACTGTCTACGCAATTATTTAATGTGCTCACGAAACAGGAAGTCACCAATGAGGACAAAGATAAGCATGATTCTGTTCATTATACACAATGTAGAGAGCATGACATTCTGGATGAGGCCACTGAAAAGAAGGTATGGTTGCCTAATGTCTGTATATGCATATGTAAATGTCTGTGAAGTAAGCTGTAAATGTCTGTACATTTACAGGAAATGTATGTGTGCTTAGTTCACACTGTATTTGAAAGTGTAAATAATTTCAGATGTTCGTGGTTTACAGGCTGAGGAAGACAATGTAGGAAGCGAGCATGGCACTCCGATAGTGGTAAATGAAGATAAGGTATGATTGCCTTATGTTTGTGCACCGCATTGAAAGTGTCTGTGCAGTAAGCTGTAAATGTCTGCACAGACTTCTGTAAATGTATGTGTGCTTAGTTCACACTGTATGTGAAAGTGTAAATAATTTGAGATGTTCGTGGTTTACAGGCTGAGGAAGACAATGAGGGAAGTGAGCATGGCACTCCGGACGTGGTAACTGCAGATAAGGTATGCTTGCCAAAACTAACCTTCCAATATTTTGTCATTTTCTAATAGTCTGTGAAATTGTTGACATTTTGTCCCCAATTAAGCATGACTCTGATGAAGATGAGCAGGGAAGTGAGGCCTTAATGGCACTTGTGGTCACCGGTGAAAAGGTACGCTTGATTTGCAATTAACTGTGCATAAAGGTGGTTTGGAATGTGTCTGTACTTACATGTGATTGTTTTTTTTAAGGAGAAAGATGTTGAAGCTGTTGAGCGTAGTGTTCCCGCATTGCCTAAATCAACCCTCATAAGCTTTCTTTTGGAAGAAGTTAGTGCATAATAATTTGACATAGTAATTTTTTGGACCACTCATTAATGTGAACTAACATTGACTATTTCACAGTTGAAGGATGTGGATATGGTCTTAGGAGATTGTGAGTCACCACTGCCTAAGGTTAAGTTGTTATCAGTATGTTTACTTTCAAGTGTGTGTGCAAACATTGGTGTTCCTGTCTCGTGCACATGTGTAAACATCTATTTTCTTTCAATTGTTTAGGATGATGCATTCTTGGATGCATCACTCACTGCCTCAACGCCTTTTGAAAATGTCGAATGGGAAGATGTGCTTCAAGATGAAGTTGAAATAACCAAAGCTCAACCTGCCATCTATGAAAGGAAAAAAAGAAAGAGGTTTGCCTCAAAGTATCATAGCAGCCCTTTCATGGATCCATGTGCTAAGCGGGTGAAGCAAAGCGAAGTTGGAAGGGACACAAACATTTCAGAAGAAGATAAACTCTTGAATGAGCTCAAGAGTTGGACGGAAGCCCCTGCTACTGAGGAACCGGTGTGTGTGATGTTAGACATGCCAATCCATATGAGTGTTGATAGAAAGTTCTTCTCTGACCTCATAGCTCCACAGGAATGGTTGAGCAGTATGGTAAGTTAAGGGTATATCCATTAAGTAATTTTTACTAAGTGCCTGTGTGCACAGACATTAATATGAAATCCCTGTGCTTACAGACATTTATGCTTCAACATTTTATGTGCCTGGATCAGTACATACGTGTTTGGACAAACATTTTAATCCTTAATTTCCTTAATTTGAACCATTTTCTTGTAGCACATTGATGCCCTAACTAACTTGTTGATGAGCCAAAGATTTCAGGATCAACAGTGTCAAATAATTTCCATGTTCTTCGTGGTAATCTCTAACATCCACATGTTATGGAGTGTAGTGTAGGTGTCTCCCATTAGTATTAAAGAAATTTGTGTCTATCATTGCTTAAATGCAGAATCTATTGAAGAAGAAGAGATTTGACAAGTCAGAAGATTGGAGTGGAGACAGATTCTTGAAACGTATTGACTGGCGTGAGTTGTCAAAGGTGTGGCTTGTTACATATATTGTGTTATCCACATACAATTAAGTGATGTTATTGCAATGCTACACATACATCTTCAACTCATTTTTTATTCATTCGCAGGTATTAATTCCGTTGAATGTTGAAAATAAACACTGGATCTTGTGTGAGGTGAATTTGGAGGAGGTCGTGGTTAAAGTTTATGATTCCTTGAAGACTTCCCGAAGTAAATGGTATGCATTTGATCTGTGCTCGAGGCTTCCTTATCTACTACAAGAGATTCAACATGACCTCCCACGTCCCTTACACCTTAGACCATGGGAGGCAGTGGCTGTTGATGGGGTTCCACAACAAGGAATAGGGTAAAAAAATATTGATAAATATACTTATGTTTATGGTGTTTGATTTCCGGTGGAATCGTATATGTGTATATGAATTCATTATTACTATTGTGCAGGAGTGGAGTATGCGGTGTTATGGTTATGGCGTTTGCTGAACATTTGATGCACGACCTCCCCTTAACACCCGGGTGTGAGTACGATAACTGCCGCACAATACGAAACAACTTTGCAGTACGCCTATGGGGTTTTAGGAAGAAAGCATAGAAGATTGAAGAATGTATGACGGGCTGTCCATATATATATATTTTTGTCCTTGTGAATGATGGGAAAAAACACTTAAACCAAAGTACTTATTTTTTGTGGTAACAATTTGTAATCGTATGCCCCGAAGTAGTTATATATGTGCTTCTGTTTTTTATGTAATCCCTAAACCAAACATATGTATATCAACTTCTGGTTTTGTGGATCATTGATCGTCATAAAGTGCGACATTTTGAATATAGTTATGGCAAACATTTTAAAGTGTTGTTTATTCATTTCCTAGTATACATGTCGAATTTGATGGTACACAAACATTTCAAAGTGTTGTTTATTCATTTGCTAAGTATACATGTCAAAATTTGATGGTAGTAAATTTGCATTGTCAATATATTTTGGGTCTGATAACTGAAAACTGTGAACAATGTCAAAATATATCATCATATGTGAATTTTTGTCATGATACAAAATATTGTGTAATTACAATCCTTGTAATTCTCTAGAACACAGAAAGATTCAAGCTTAAATCATCATTATACATCCACTGTAAACTGGTTGATGTAGCATTTGTTGGTCCTACGTCTCCTACACCTTCAACATTGCTTGGTCCAGCCACTTCCTCTGATGTTATCACCCCTTGCTTCTTCGGCCGCCCCTGTTTATAATTGCAATTGTAGTTCAAACGAGTGTTCATAAAATATCCAGTTCCAGTCGCTAAATATCTGGACCCAGGGTTCCAGTAGGTATTTGTCTGTGACCAGACAAATAAGTATGGTCTCACAGACATTTCATAATTTGGTGACCCAGGGGTTCCAGTAGGTATTTGTCTGTGACCAGACAAATAAGTATGGTCTCACAGACATTTCATAATTTGGTGACTCAGGGGTTCCAGTAGGTATTTGTCTGTGACCAGACAAATAAGTATGGTCTCACAGACATTTCATAATTTGTTGACCCAGGGGTTCCAGTAGCTATTTGTCTGTGAACAGACAAATAAGTATGGTCTCACAGACATTTCATAATTTGTTGACCCAGGGGTTCCAGTAGCTATTTGTCTGTGAACAGACAATTTACTATGGTCCCACAGGCAATTCACACGGGTTCCATTGGCTAAATGTCTGTGCCTGGACACATTGCTCCGGCTTCACAGACAAATGGATGTACCTTTGATTTTTTCTTCCCCTTTTCAATAGGTCCTTTTTTCCTAGTCTTTCTCGGAGCGCCTTTACGTTTTGTCTTGTTTGGATCTTCAATAGCAACAGTTGTTTGTGCGTTCACGCCTATGACTTGGATTGGCAGGGTGTCCGTTAATTGAGTCATAACTCCACAAATTGATGAACGAGCATTTGACATGTTGCATTTTTCCAACTCACCTTCAAGCCATTTCAAGACGCGTTCATAATGTTCATCATCATCGGCCACACTATTCGCAAGTCTTTCAAATGTGGTGCATAACTTGTCAAACCGTTGTTGCTCTTTAGTCGTAATCCAACCATCATAGTTAATTTTAACTCTTGTGTATCCTCTTTTGATATCTCTCCTCCACCTTTTCATGATGTAACACTCTGGTAGGACGTGAACTCCGTTACGCACAAGTACTGTGATGATGTGATTACAAACAATCCCTCTAAACTCATATAAGTGACAGGTGCACACTGCTTTAGAATTAGGGATAGAATTATCGTACTCAACCACAACATGGATTGTTTTGAAAAAAACCCCATTCTCCTTCTTGTCTTCACGGATATTGTAATGTATACCATCCTCACACCCTAACAGGTCACAATGCAACTTCCCGGCCATTTGAGTTCGAAACTCCTTGAACTTTGCAAGTGTGTACATTTGTTGCAACTGATGTTCCATGGCATATATACTCACACAAGGCAACATTTTGGTGAGACACTTAGCATCCTCTTGGAACTCTTTCTCTACTTTGGATTTCAACGCACGCCCGTATTGATCAACAAATTCCTTTAGACTTGTTTTAGAATGAACAAAGTCGTCAAAAAAGGCGTTAATGCTCTCACTACGTTGGGTCGTTGACATCCCTGCCCAAAACGTTGGCCTCAAGTAGCATGGCACCCACCGATGTCTTTCATTGTAAAGCACATGTAACCATTCATGGTCATTAAGCTGAAACCTGCACATTTGTCCACATGAATATTACGATAGTTGTGATATTGAATAGAACTTGTAAAAAACAAATGCTTACCTTTGCAACATACAACTCCATGCGAACTCAAATTGTGCACCTGTTTGGGAGTCGTAAACAGCATCATGTAAACAAGCACTAACTTCGTCTTTATCGGTCAACCCTCCCATCTTCTCAGGCACCTTCTTCATTATATGCCATAGACACCACCGATGTCTTGTATTTGGGAACACTATTTGAATGGCATTTTGCATTGCCCTATCTTGATCGGTAATAATTCCACTAGGAGGACAACCATCCATACACTCAAGCCACTTTTTAAACAACCACACAAATGTGGTGGTGTCCTCATTTGAAATTAAGCCACAACCTAACAAGATGGATTGCCCATGGTGGTTGACTCCTACAAAAGGTGCAAAGGGCATGTCGTACTTATTAGTGAGATAAGTTGTATCGAAAGTTATCACATCTCCAAAATCTCTATAAGCATACCGGCACCGCTTGTCTGCCCAAAAGACATTGCGAAGGCGAGATTCATCATCCACATCAAGGGCAAAGAAAAAACCGGGGCACTCCGCTTGCATTTTGCAAAAGAAACTTTGAATTGCAATGGCATCACCATTTCCTAAACGCAAGCGGCGAACCTTGTCAACGTAGTTCCTACAATCCTTTTCAATGAATGGTAAATTCTCATAACCGCCTGCTTCTACCACGGCAGAGGTGTAGGTTTTGTGAAGAGGAATTCCTGCAACAACATTTATTTCAATTTTTCTCCTCGCGCTCATAGTCAATCTCCTATTGCAACGAAAAGCTCTAGTTTTGGTAGGACTCATGGGGTGGTTATGCTGTTCATGCACTTTTGAAATAACCCATGACCCGGCGTAGTCATACATGCCTTTGATTCCGGCTTTGCAACCAATTGCACTAGTAGCTCCGGGCAACAACAAATTTGTTGACTTTGAAACTCTATTTCCTGCACGGCCACATTCAATTAACATTCCTGTTATGTTTCCTTGTTTGTCTTTCGTCGAGCTCCTAATTCTAATGGGAAAACCTATACGTTTTGCGTAATTCTTGTAGTGATCATAGGCTTCATCTTTTCCCGCAAACAACATCCCAACTTCTACATGGACGTCAGGTGTACCATCATCTACATTTGTGTTATCCGGGTCTGAGTGAAGACATATAAAAATATTACAATACAATAACATCACAATAAATTACATAACACATTTACATAATACATAAATGTGTGTGGACATGTAGTAAAAATACAAACATGTACTTCATTTGGTCTCTGTGCACAGATCGTATAATAATACAATCATTTACATCACTTCGTCGGTGTACAACGGCAATATGAAAACAAACATTTACTTCACTTCTTCTCTGTACACAGACAATAGTAATAGACTAATATAAACGCATTAAAAATACAAATATTTACTACGGAGTATGGACTACATGGATAATACAACACATCAAATACAATACTGTTACTTCTACAGCAGGTGAAACATACACAAATGTTACACTAACACAAGTGGATGGTAAACTATACGAATACAAAGTTATAAGAACATACAACAGGTGAAGACTGAAAATATGGAAATGTCTGTGTACACAGACATTACGTTCCACGTACCTCCTTCATGATCAGCGTCCGGAATATGTTTTTCCTCTCCGTCGCCGACGTCTTTCGTACTGGGTTGAGCTTTGTTTCCGGTCGCCGGTGGTTCAGAGCCGGAATCCATATTTTGGGGTGCCATCAACTCGCCCATGTCGTAGCTACTGATGAAGGCCATCTGCTCAACGCTATAATCCATTCGCTTATTACCTCCACACCAGACTCCTACTCCTCCGTCGAGCTGTGAAGAAGAAGGGGACAAGAGGAAGAAGAAGCTACAGTGAAATGTGCTCCAAGCTGCGCAAATATGTAACGGGAATGGGGGAGTGCGTGGGAAAGAAAGAGGGAGAGGAAAGAATGGGGTAAATGGAATGGTAATTTTTTTACCCTTTTATATGATGTACAAATTGTGTACATCTCATGTACCCGAAGACAAATTGAAATAAAGATTATACACAAAAAAACGTACAAAGGTATTTTTTTTCATTTTATTTTGGAGTAAAAAAGGGGACAAAGTTGAAAATTTTCAGGGGCGCGCAGTGGACCATATCCAGACAGATTAGAGTTCTTACTTTCTCTTTATCCTCTTCTATCTATTCCAACGGCACGATGTTATCGGCGGTAGCTCAGCCGGTGGTAAATTGTATTCTCGAATCTCCGCCACCTTCATTTTCTTATCAGAAACTGCTTCCACATACTTTGGGTTTTCACCAATTTCATCGTAGATTTACAGTAATCGCATACTAGCAAAAAATGAGAAAAAAAGACTTGGCCAGGTTCTTTCCATTTTGTATTGCTCTGAAAATAACAATTGTTTCCTTAATTCAATAATTCAAGCAATCCTTGAAAATGCAAAAGCTTGAAGTGGTTGTAGAGCCGGAGAAACCTATATTAGTACTAAAGTTCATATGGATAGGAGAAGAACATTGATACCCGGGCATGGCAATGTCCCTTTAAGTCCTTACTATTTTTGGCCTAGGAAAGATGCCTGAGAAGAGCTGAAGGTGATGCTAGAGAGCAAGCCTTGGGTTCCCCAGAAGCAGATTCTTCTTCTTCTGAATCAGGCCACTGATATAATCAATCTATGGCAACAGAGTGGTGGCAATTTGGTGTAGCCTTTTCTTTTATGGTGCTATCATTAGTATCATATTCACTTGTAACATTGCCTTGCTCTGCCTCTTT